CACAAATGCCCTGCAGTTCTCCATCTTGTATGTTTAAAACAATCACAAATAATCACCTGCTCAATATTAGTTAACTCTTCCTAATATTAGAGCTGACTGGATCTTTGTTCTCACGTCCTGGTCTTTGTGGTAGCGTTGTATCAGCCTGATGATGCTCAGAAACCGGAAGCATTGCCACCACAAGCAGACTCAAACACTACTCAAGGCTTTCAGGTGAGTAGTGTTTGACATTGGAACAAAAAATTCTATTTCAAATAAATGCTGTTCTTTTGAACTTTCTATTCATCAAAAAAAAAAAAATCCTGAAAAAATGTATCATGGTTTCCAGAAAAATCTTAAGCAGCAGTGTTTTAACATTGATAATAAGAATTTTTTTCTTGAGCACCAAATCAGCATATTAGAATGATTTCTGAAGCGTCATGTGACACTGAAGACTAGAGTAATGACTGCTGAAAATTCAGCTTTGCATAACCAGAATAAATTAAATTTTAAAATATACTAAAAGAGAAAACAGTATTGCAATAATAATGATAATAATAATAGTTTTTTTTTTTTTCAATCAACAGCCATATTTCTTCAGACAAAATCCTAATTTTCCAACACAGCTGGACTCGTTTACCTCAATCTACCCATCCCAGCAAATTCCATATCAAAGTAAGATCTGAGCCTGTTACTTCTGTACAATACTTGCTGAAATGTGTCATTTTATTAATTAATGCATGCTGTCACTAAATGTTTTTCACTAAATGCAAACATTTTGTATTCAATAGCACCTGATATCGCATCATTCTTGATGTCTGACGCTCACCAACATAATGCAGAAATTCTGCTGGCTATTGAAAAGGTGGCACACAGGATGGACCAACTGACCTGCAAGGTATATTTGTGCAGTAAGATTTTTTTATTAGTTCTTTTCTTATGAGATTTGATTTATTGTTTTCGGGTGGATGAGTTGCAAAAAGAGGGTCACTTCTCTTTCAGACTCTCCTCTGTGTCCTTAGAGACAAACATGATCCTACACAAGATTTGGATTCAAGGATAAGGATCATCTTTGTTATGTTTAAATGCAAATAAATAGCATTTTCAGTGGCATTTGTGTTTTAGGAGCGTATGTGTCTGAAAAAGGAGGTTCTGGAGAAGCTCAAAAGAAGCTCAAAGAGGTGTACCCTACCCCTTTCTTCACACTCCAATTTCCTACTTTCCAGTCAGATTAAAGGCAAAAAAGCCCTTTAAAAACAGGAAACCCATACATTGACACACAACAAATTGGTTTATGTATATGGAGCAGCAACACAACCAGACTTGCCGCCTTCAGACTGAACAGGAAAAGGTACAACAGACACGTGGACTTGCTAAATTATGCTCTGTTGGTTTATTGGCTCAGTATATTATACATTTATTTATTTTATATTTAATAGGTTGTCGTGTTTCCATTTTGATCTTATTGTAGATGTGTCCTGGTGAATGGTGTGGTTAGGAAAATGTCTTAAACATCTCTTTTCTCTCACTTTCAGGTTCATTTATCTGGGGCATTGGCTTGTCAGCTGCAGCAGGATGTGCTGAATCTCCAGCAGAGGGTGACAGAGATTCAGGCTGAACTCAGGCAAACACAATCACTGTGCTCAGATCAGCCTTCTGGAGGCACAGGTGGAGGGGGATCCCAGCGTTTCATTCAAGTTTGAACTCTACTTAACATCTGTGGTACTTTTTGACCGTAAAAGTGGCGCAGCTGTGTGGTTTTGATTGGGACAAAAATCCTAAACTAGCACATTAAAATAAGATTTTTCTAAAGCAGCGGTTCTTAACCTTTTTGACTCCAAGTCTCCCATTTTTCACAACAATATTCAAAGGCCCCATGACTTTTCCAGTTGTTCATGAATAAGAATTATGGAACAAGTCATCATTGTTGATGACCCCTGGTCTAGATAATGTGTGTTTTTAGAACTTGTGAAGCAAGGAGAACAGTCTGAGCAGCGGTGGAGGGCAGAGAAGCAGAAGTGCAAAGAGATGGAAGCCATTATACAAAACATGGATGAGGAGATGCAAGATCTGAGGGCTGAAAAGGAGAATCTGGATCAGGTGTGTATGATATGAGTGTAAACAAAAGGCTTTAACCTGTCTGATTAATACTTCAATAAGTGTATTCAAGCATCATACTGTTTTCTCTGTCAGACAGGAAGAGGAAGTGGCAGGTACAGCGGGAGCGCTTTTTATTGGAGCAGGAGGAACAGCATCAGAGAAGTCAGCAGGAGATCCTACATCTCTTTATCAAGCTCAAAAAGCCAGAGACTCCACTGAACCACTCATGAAGCAGGTATATTAACTTATTATAGGGATACTCCACCAAAAAATGAAATTGCTATCATCATTTATTCACCCTTATGTTGTCAGAGATGTGTATGACTTTCTTTCTTCAAATGAACACAAACAAAGATTTTTGAAAAAATAATCAGTCTTTGTGAGTCCAGTTGGATGGAAGGCTTGCAGGTTTAAAAAAAAGTTGAAGTTGAAGACACTGATTCAACAACTGGGGTCGTATGGATTACCATCATGTTCATTTCCCATGGTTTTTGAAGCATCAAGAAAATCATATACATACGTACATCTAGGATGGCATGAGGGTGAGTAAATGAGAGCATTTTCATTTTTGGGTGGAGAATCCCTTTAATCTTCTATTTACCTTTATTTTATATATTTTAAAATGAGAATCTAAATAAGACATCACAAAATAATAAAAAGCAGTTTGACAGTTGAGGGTTAAAATGCTCTTATTTTTTTATAGTAAAGTCTAAACCTGAAACTGAGCTGGTGTTTCTGGTGCAGGTGAAACGAGTGATGAATGGAGTGTTTCAGTCTCTCAGGACAGAGTTTGACTTGCAGGAATCTTACAGTGGACACAGTGCTCGAGATTCTCCAAAACACCATCAAGGTACTGTCCAACCAATCAGGTCGAGGTTTGATGACCATGTAGATAATGATTTCTGGTCTTGCTGATGTCTGCTTTTCCTTTGTAGAATATCACCAGGAAACTTCACTCAGAACCTTGGGAGCTTGAATCAGACGTAGATGAAGATAAAGCAGAGGAAGAGTACTTGTCTACTGTGTGTTGCAAATGGAAAACATGCAGAAGGAAAACAATGAAATAGAGGGAAAAGGCCAACATTAAAAAGGAAGTATTTATGTTAACAGAACAATCGGTAGATCAGAACACCTGCATATTGCAGTCGCATTGTAGGCATTGGTTCACATATTGAGACCCTAAAGGTGAATTGGTACTGTCCAATCACAGCTAAGGAGGCTAAATAATGTCCAATCAATGGGCAGCTGATCCTTTCCCAATGATACAAAGCAGGCAGTTCTTCAGTCATTCAACTGGAAGAACTCTGACCCATAACAACGGCGTCCTCCTGACTGCATATGACTAACAAGGTTGCAAGTTAAGTAAAGTTAACTAGATACACATAAATGTAATATTTGCTTGAGTATGTTTGAACATTTTTCTTTCAGAACATTATCTAATTTAGTATTTGGGTTTTATTTATAATTATAAAATATAGGGGTGCGCCGATCTGATATTCAGGATCGGTATCGCTCCAATACTGGCATTTTCTGCTGGATCGGGGTATCGGTCAGACGAGACCGATCCAAATCCGATATAGTGTGTATACTATTCTGTGGTTTTTTAAGCCCCACGAAAAGCACAAAAACATTATAAAGCACCGTAAAGTTTCCGTGCACTATATTTCAAGTGTTCTGAGACCGTTCCATAGTTTAATGTGAGGTACAGATGAGTATTTAAGTCATTAAAGGGGGAACAGTGTTGTAAATACAACTTAACCACTGATTTCTAGTCGTGTCCTCTTTTGGAAGACCAAACGAAGTGGTTTCGCTTTCACAAATGAGCGGAGGCCGGAGGCCTAGAGTGAGCCGTGGCCTAGAGTATGCGGAGGCCGGCTTGAGTGAGGAACGGCCGGCGGGCTTGGGAACGGCGCGGCTGGCGGATTCGACGAAGGAGCGTTGCACCAAGAGCTTGTGACACTTTAAAGAGAAAGGAAAAATTTAAATCGCATCATATGACCCCTTTAATACACTATGCATCAGTATCTTTGAACTTTTCTATGTGGAGCGCTGCGTGCTGTGACTCCGTGTTGCTTCAAGCGCATCATTCTGCGCACGGGATGCGCGTAAGCGCTTCGTGCCGCTCTGTATTTGAGCCTTTCATGTTATAATACTTTTGCGCAATGAAAGATTGTTTATAGCCTTTCTTGTTCTGTCTTATCTATCATATGTTGCTGCCTCATTACTGTGCTATAAATGTAAAAGAAATGTATTTAATTTATTGCATATATTTATATATAATTATATTTACTTGTTTTTCATAAATGTATATTACAATACAAAGAGCAATGTGTAACATTTTACCAGATTACACCTATTTACTTTTATTTTTTCCCCCACTAAATGTTTTTTTCTCCAAATGTTTAGATTTTATAAAATTATTGTGAACATCATTTTTGTAGCGTAACTTTTGCTGCTGAATTATCCACTAACCTAGTTTATAATAGTATTTTTCTCATAGATTATGATTATATATTTTTTTATTTGTTATTTTTCTTTATAATTAAGTTGTCTATATTTAGTAGATTGTGTGTAATACACAAAAGAGTGATGATCAGGTCAACACACACTGAGGTATAGAAATAAATAAAAAAACGGTGCTGGTATCGGATCGGTATTGTCCGATACTCAGAACCTTTGATATCGGATCGGGATCGTTTCTGAAAAAATGGTATTGTGCCACCCCTAATAAAATATTGAAAAATCAAGACTAATCTAATCACCTTTCTGGGCTTGACATTTCAGACATATCTGGAATTGTGGACTAATATTGATTTATTGAACATGTAAATAAAAATGACACTAGGCAAGGAGTAATAAGTAAATGGAAAATCTAACAATTGTTAACTAACAATTATGATATTTTATATATAAATAAATGTATCTGAACAGTCATGCTATTGCAAAAATACACCTTTTAATTATAAAAGGACACTAGAGCATATTGTCTAGCAGGTTTATTTAGCAGAGGCCTGACAGGTGTGATAACACTTAAAAATTAATAGGCAGCACTTCAATGGATGTGGTTGGTTGGGTACAATTATAAAACCTAAAAACAAATTACATTTTATTTTGAATATATAGACGACAAATTAAAACATGAAATGGCAGCACATATATTGTAAATGAATGTAACATAGAGATTCAATCTCACTTTGTCATCACAGATAAAGTGTCATTTGTGTTGTATAAAATGACCAGAAACTTTATCAGTTCTTATGACATAAAACAAGAGCAGGACTACAGTGTGTATATAAGTTAATAATAACCTGCCATCAGAAGGTAGTTTATACTACAGTAACTCCTTTTACACATTCTACTAAGCATTGTGATGCTTTCATAGTTTTTTTTCTTTCTTAAATTACAGATCCACAGCAAATAAAATACTATTTGTCCAGTCTGATCCATAAAGCATAACTATCACACAAAGCACTCGGATTAAAAGTTTGTGATGTGATTTATCATGCTGATAAACACTTAAAGCTCCTTTCTTGAAATAAGAAATTAAATGAATATTGTTTTATTTACAGACAGATTAAGTTCTTTTTTCATTCTGTGCATGTTCAGTGAGAAGCAGACTTGCATATAAGAGCACTTGGACGAAGAGAGGTTCACAGAAGTACACAGATTTAGGAAACACTATTGCGTGTGTGCAATATTTGAAGTTGCTGAAACTGGACAGTCGACAGTGTAAAAGGACTGACAGTGCATTTGTTAGGATGAATGTTTGGAGCATTATACAGCAAGTACAGTGCCTTCAGAAAGGTTTCAACCTATAATTTCCAATTATGCTGTGTTGCAAAGTCAGTTCAAAATATTTCAATGTTGAAGTCTTTATAAGGCTCTGTTCTGTAAATTATAATTTATTCAAAGAGTCACATTTAAACTGAAATTTTAAATCTTACACTAAAAATGAAAATTAAAAATGACTTTAACATAATTGGTTGAAGTATTAAAATACTCTCTACTGGAACTGCAGGGTAAAGGCCCATTCACACAGAGAACAGTAAGGATAAGGCTAACTATAATCATAACCGTATTAGCAACCACACCTACGGACAGCCACGTTCTGTTTATTATAAGTGTGTGCTGAAGTTATGTCAGCTTCCACTTTAAATGTTCAAGTAAGGCAGATTCTGATTGCTGTTCATCAGTTGGAAAAAATTGTTGTGATAATGATTCTAATTATATAGTTCCTCTGTGATGTTATCATTATAGCTGTGGAGTGATAACCCAATTCTCATAAAATTAGAATGATGATTAAAACTTTATAATTACAGTTATCACCTTTGGTGTGAACATCCCTGAATGGTGATAAATTTGATCTTACTGTACTACGATGACGCTAGAATAACATGGAGGGCAGGGCATAGGGCGGACTGTGGTGAGTGAATGAAGATTTAGCTTTACTATAGAGAACATGCAGATATTTAAAATGTAGTGGGGGAGGGGGGGGGCTGAGTTGACATCAAATACAGAAGAGGCACAAGTGCTTAGAGTAGGTACATCAAGGGCGATACTAAAGCTCACCACATTCATCCTATTAGATTTGAGTTACAAATACTTTCTTGCTTTTAATTTATTGGAAAGTGACTAGATTATGATGAACAATAAAACTTCCCATTGGAAGCTTGGATCTTGCTGTATAAGTTCCTTTTTGATTGGCTAGTAGTTGAAGTAGGAGTGGAAGAAAAAATCCAGTATGTTCTAAAGTGCTTGAAGGTTCACATACTATGATTTCATGCAGCAAATGGGAGGAAGGAAAAACAACGACACATGATGTATGATGCTGACCACGGAAGGACGCTCTCCATCTTCAGCCGTGGTAAAGACGGACGCGCTGAGATATAGAGCCACGGCACAGAGGGCAGGACTGCAGGGCATTGCTGCAAGTCTGACAACAACATACATGCCCACACGGCAGGAAGATCACCTGTGACTGTGACACAAAACAGAACAGGAGAGGAAATTATGGTTTCTTTCAAAGCTGCTGAAAGCAAAACTCTTACATTGTTACAAAGAATTTCTATTTCAAACAAACGTTCTTTTAAAAATATTTTCAAATTGAATTGAGAATTATAATAATCTTTTTCCTTACCTCATGTTCCATGCACACCACACACTCGGAACTGCTAAATCTATCAGGACTTGGGGCAGTGGGGGTGAGGGGGGTGTTGGGGGTCAGTGGAGGAGTGAGCTGCTGTTGAAGTGGGGCACTTGGAGTGGATGGACCAGCTTCCTGCTTCTCTTTTGCAGTTTTAGGAAATGCTGAAGGGACAAACATGTTTTGATACCCTCAATCACAACTTAAAACAACACTGAGCAGAATTCACAAATGTCTACTAATTATGTCCTTGACTGAAAATATATGCTCTTACGGTCAGACAGAGTGCGTTCTCTGGCCCAGTGGAGAAGAGCTTTCTGCACGCCAACCTCATTAATCCCCAACTGTAATAAAACAGAAACGATTTTAATGGACATAAACCTGTGATGACAAATTCTTAAGAGACACACTTAAATACTACTATAAAACTTCTGTGTGGTAAAACACATAAGGAATGGTGACAGACCTTCCTAAGGTCTTTGGTGGTCATGTGTCGCAAGGCCTCAGCAGTGATTCTGTGGTGAGCTATGACTGGCAGGTAGTGCTGAGCAGAGAGTTTACACAGCAGATTCCCCAGATCCCCATCCACAGCTGCCTCCTGTGGAGAAAACAGAGGTCAGCAGAGTGTCCGTGATTTTGTGATTTAAACCCAGGATCTTTAGGCCTGTAGGAGAGCTGCTCTAACCTGCATCCGCAGAGACAGAGGTTTGGCATCCAGGAGCCTCTGATATTGGATCATCCAGTAGTTCTGCTGATTGGATTCACTTTTCTGGTCCATCTCCACCTGAAGAGCAAAAAAACAAAAAATCCTCAGCACCATAGCTTACAAATTACAAGAATCATACATAAGCATCTGTAGTTTTTATCAAAGTCCTACGCAAATTCAATACTATGTTGCTTGCTTGTTTACTTAGTGGAGACTACCATGCCAGAATTTGACGTAATTTTTTCCACATCAGTGAGGTATAATGCAGGGTTTTTCAAACTGGTCTGTTTTTTTAAAGGCTGTTAGATTTAATGTGTATTTTTCAGATAATAATATGTCCAACGAATTACAGAAATTAAGCAGCAAAACACAATGCATGGCAATCAAATAAAATTAGAACAGAACTAAATAAATAAATGTGTTTAACTATTATATAAAAAGTAATTTTACTTTTTTAAAAGGCTAAATAACATGTATTCTTCTGATATTAAAGGGGTCATATGATGCGTTTTCATGTTTTCCTTTTTCTTTAGTGTGTTTTGTAGATTTTTGTGCATATATAAAATCTGCAAAGTTACAAAGCTTAAAGTCTCCCACAAAAGGAATTTTTCTATCTAAAAGAGAACGCTGATCCAGACCGGCCAAAAACGCCTCGATTGAATTCTCCCTCACATATCTACATCACTATGTGGAAATATTTGCATAATGCCACTCAAATGGATACGCAACGAATGAAGGCGTGGTTACTGTGGTATCACAGTAGTGTTGTTGCCGCCATGTTGTGGAGATGCTTTGTGTTTCTATGCGACAGCAAAAACACTTTTTTTGGCCTTTCGAAAGTGGATGCAATTAGGAGTCAGTGGTTAACATTTATTCACAACACTGTTCCAGAACAGTACAACCCAAATATTCGAGTGTGTGCAGCAAAGTTTCCTGAACCTAGGGGAGTACAAGGCCGGCTGTGCAGAAAGGCTCTTTCTAAAAAAATGGGGCAATTCCAACTTTGCTAGGACAATCTGGAGCTTCTGAATCAGAGCCCGTAAGTATGTTTTATAATTTGCTATTGACTGTTCAAATGTGGAGTTTGGTAAAGTGTAGAGTAACATATTATTTGTCGTTCCTACGACCACAAGTGCAGACAGAGATGGATTTATGTTTACAAACATAGTATCCTCTGTTCTCTGCTTATAACTGGTGGCGAAAAGATAACAAACATGATTCACTACGTGTTCTGCTTCACACTGGACGCTCAAGTAGCAAATCAGAGCACACTGCGCTTTTCGAAGGAGAGGCTTTGTAGAAATCAAAGCATTTTAGAAAGACTACATAGAGGATCTGCAATAATGAACAGTACGTGAAAATGAATGCATTTTTTGAACATTAAAGCATGCTAACATATTCTCTTACACCCAATATACAACATAATGACCTTTGAAAATAGCATCATATGACCCCTTTAATATGTGCATTATGATGATATTTTTCCATTCACATTTACACCAAATTTAAAATTATAATTTCAGACAATATCTACGTAACCTAAATGTGATTTTTCCAACAATGACTGAAGCATGTCAAATGTTTCCGTGAACTGATCCAATTTCCTGTGACTCTTTTGAGAAATCAAGGAAGTTGGTCCAGAATCACTCACCAAAACCATCCTGAGCTCCTCCTCCCTTTGGTCCTTTTGTTTGAGTAACTGCTGCAGCAGGTCAGTCAGAGCAGTCCTCTGGTCAGCCAGCACCTCCTATCACACACACACACACACACATGAAGGATTCATACTCCCAGAATGCTATGATAACTCATAGAGGTGGTGTGAGCATGATATATAAAACAGGAATGGGATGAAATGACCAAGTAATCTGAGAGAGAAAGAGAGATGTAAAAACAAGCAAGAGAAGTGATGTGCGATGACAGACTCATCATTACTCTGCTCTACACTCCACAGCATGATGAAGCACTGACAGGAAACCACCCACATCATCTACTGCTGCTACGTACCTGCAGGTTCTCAGTGTCCAAATTCCTCCTCTTAACCTCCAGCTTTGTCAGCTGCATTAACTCTGCCTCTATGAGTTTAATCTATGGATACAAGCATACAGTAGGGGTGTGAATGGCCCCATGGAGACATGATAAAACAGCCACCTTTTGGGTTCTGCATCCAATGAGAGGTGGGATGTGAGAAGCATGGGCTGACTGAAACCAAAAAAAGCTTTTTATGACTAGAATGACTACACAAGACCTTCTGAAATATTGCTTACTCTAACCGACTACAAAATACCCACTGAATAGCTTTGTTAATGATTATACTACCAAGTTTGGGGCCAATAACTATTTTTCTATAGTTAATACATTTATCCAGCAAGGACACTTCAAATGTATCAAAATTCACAGTAGCATTTACATTTAGAATATTACAAATATTTTTATTCCAAATACATGTTTTTCTTTACAACAAAAGTAAGAAGCATCACAATTTTCAACATTGATAATAGGAAATGTTTCTTGAGCACCAAATCAGCATATTAGAATGATTTCTTATGGACCATGTGACACAGAAGCCTGGAGTAATGGCTGCGGAAAATTCTTTGTAACACAGAAATAAATGACATTTTTAAATACATTAAAACAGCAAACAGTTATTTTCAACTGTATTACTATTTTACAGCATTTTAATCAAATAAATGCAGCCTTAGTGAGCATAAGAGATTTCGTAAAAAAACATTAACTCCAAACTTCTGAATGGTAGTGTATATGTTAATAAATGACAGTGCTGATAAAGTTGAAACTCCTTCAATTAACCAGTAGTATGATATAAATCACTGTATCTGTGGGGTCTTATTGCCTCTTCTATCCTAAAGGAAACTTTAATAAGCATACCTGATTACGGATATAAGCATGCACACTGTCCTTCTGGAGTTGGAGGGCTTCAAAGGCGGCCTTCTGCATTTCCTCCTGCAGACAAAGAGCCAATTAGGGTTAATCATTCTATACGTACTAGACCAACAATGCACCAGCTGTATCTGCTATAGTTCATTAATGTATTTTTCCTGTGGAGTGAATGGACAGATGGAGTGCAAACTAGTTTTTAATACTAGTTTTTAATTTATGTACATTGTATGTTAGTGATTTAAATAGTTACCTCTTGAAGGATCTGACTAATGGCTTTGCTTTTGTCTAGCTGCTGCAGGGACAACACTTGGTCAAACTTCTTATCCATATAGTCCAAACTAAATGAAGGGAAAAAAGAGAAATTAGTACACAAGAAAAAATAGGACTGTTTACTCATTGCTGAATGAAAATGAATACTCATTCATTTTTTAGCACCTCCTGCAGGTCTCAGACACCAGAATCTGTGTCTTGGCTTCCCTGGCCTCCTGCAGTAACCTTAAAGAGTAGCTCTCAGACAGCATCCTCTGCATGGCACCTGCAAACATGTAGTCTTCTTCAGTACCACTGCAAATAGCCGAGTTTCTTTTAAATATTATTCATTTGGGCTTTTGAGACTTTTGTTTTTACTGATAAAAAGGGGGGGGGGCATGAGTTCCAAAGTTCAACTTGTCTGGATCAGCTTGTTTTGTCAGAGTTTCTAATGATTTTCCTACCAAATATAAAACCAAATAGGCCTATCTGAAATCCCTGTAAAACAATAAGGCAATTTTAATGATAAATGTAATTTCTAAAACTCACTTGCCACTTCCTTCTTCCTAAGAGAGTTGGCTTCGTCCTGTGTGATGGCAGTAAGGTGTTCCATTCGTATACTAAAAAACCCCCCCAAAAAAACATTCATAACTGTTTCTCTACTCAAATAGAAAAAACATCAAGGTAAGTCCCAGATTTCACCATTTTGTTTGTAACATCTATATACACTACAGTTCAAATGTTTGGGTTCGGTAATATTTTTTTTTATCAAATGATTACTACTATTACTTTTTATTTTATTTTATTTTATTATTATTATTATATTATTACTTTTTCAGCTAGGATGCATTACATAGTTCAAAAGTGACAGTAAAGACATTTATTATGTTACAAAAAATCTATTTAAAATCATTTCATAATACTTCTGTATTTTTGATCAAATAATGTGGCTTTGGTGAACGTAAGAGACTTCTTTCAAAAATATTTAAAAAATCTTAACAACCCCAAACTTCTGAACGGTAGTGTATATCTTACAAACAACTAACACCCCACTGCAGTGTTTGTGAAACCACAACTTAAAGTAGCACTCCAGGTCTTTCTGACATCTCCAAAAATACATGAATGTAACAGTAAACATTGAACTTTAATGGGCCAAAAGCTCTGTGTGCTGTAGCAGCACCACAGCAGTAGCACTGTCCAAACAGCTCAGTACTTGCTTGCACTAAATCTGGGCTAAGGATTTCTTAAGTGGCGCCATTAGACAGAAAGAAATTCACTTAGCAAGAGCTGCATTGATGGCAGGAGCCCATATTCCATTAGAGAGTTCGACCCATGCGTAATTTCCACTCACCGGTCTTCCTCCAGAGCTTGCAGAAACTCTGCACACTTTGCCTGGCTATAACCAAATGAGCACAAATGCACAATAAATAACGACACTTCAACTACACAATACTAATGGGCTTAGCATAATTAAAGTGATAATGATAGCTACTGAAAAAGCAAGGTATTTCAAAAGTGGTTCACACCGTACCCTCACCGTTTGTTATCAAGCAGGAGGTCAGAGATGCGACTCATGATATTGCTCTCTGCCAGACGTACTTTATCCAGTATTTTCAGCCTCTCTGTTTCCTGGGCCTTCTGCTGCTGAGACACACCTAACTCCAACCGTTGCTGCTCCTGAGAGACAGAAAAGCACAGAGACATGTCTTTCTGATAATAAATGGCCATGGTAAATGAAAACGTGTTTTTATTAGCTAGATAAGCGTAGTAACTGTACAACCTACTCTACAGTGCTTAAATTACGCTACTGTTCAAAAGCTTGGGGTCAGTAAGACTTTTTTAAACTAATACTTTAGTCAAGTCAAGTCAAGTCAAGTCAAGTCTGCTTTATTGTCAATTCTTCCACATGTACAGCACATACACACAGAGAATTGAAATTGCGTTACTCTCAGACCCTTGGTGCATACAGATAACACTAACAGTAGAACATAAATACAGATATACAGATTAAATATAAAATACAACTATACAATTATACAAATAAGGTAAAATGTAAAAAAATATATAAAAAAAAAATATATATATATATATATATA